TTTCTTTCTTTCTTTCTTTCTTTCTTTCTTTCTTTCTTTCTTTCTTTTTAAAATTTATTTATTTGACACAGAGAGACACAGCGAGAGAGGGAACACAAGCAGGGGGAGTGGGAGAGGGAGAAGCAGGCTTCCCTCGGAGCAGGGAGCCCAATGCCGGGCTCGATCCCAGGAGCCTGGGATCATGACCTGAGCCAAAGGCGGATGCTTAACACCTGAGCCACCCAGGCACCCCTGGGCCGCCCTCTTCTGGTGACATTTTTGAGTTCTGCAGCCACCTTATTTCCTAAAAAATGAGTAATTTTGTTGCTACGAGTGTAGGTAACACCAGATAGCTCAGCTTATCGTTTCTGTTTTCCTATCATCCTTTCCTGCATTCCCATCTTCAGTGTATTTTCAGGTTAGAGAAGGACTTTCTTTTTTTCTCATACTTTGAAGATACGATATTATGACTGGCCAACATTTTAACTCTTTTACATGGCCTCAACAGTGAATGTATCTTATAGGCAGATGTTCAAGGTGACGCCCTTCTTCCATTTCCGTACAGGTAAAAATCTTACTAAGTGTCTCAGCAAGTTTTGAGGAAGCTGAAAAGTAAGCAAAAACTTTGATAACGAAAGCTCAGTATCACAGTTAAGCAAATGATTCGCCTTTTAGAAATGCTATTCTCAAAGTATGTGGGGTATTTAGCTGGCAAGATCTTTTCCTTTTCTTTGATAAGTTTATAGGCTGAGTGGAAGCTGCCAGAATTTACATTTGCACTGTCCGCTGCACGTGCAGACAGTTGCTGAGAAGCTAGTTTGTATTTGGATGTGATGTCAGCAATCTTCTGTTTTAGATTTTCTGTGTCTTATTAAAACTTCAAAGAAGTCAAGAAGATATTTTGAACTCCCATTTTTCAAATCTTCAGAGATAGGGGGAATATATTTTTTGTTGCTGTGATTTGACATATCACCTGGTATAGTGTACAAAGCATGATCATTGGTAAGATCTTACAGAATTAGCTCTCCACTGAAAGCGGTAAGACCATCTCTGCTCAAAATGTCTCCATCTGTTCACCTGCAGGACATTTTATTTGCAAGTGCCGAAGCAGGCAATGTAACTTTACTCAGCTTCCTAGAGATTTCAAGGGAGGAATGCAGTGATGCACGTCTGTCTGTGGGGTATGGCCAGACAAGTTCAGTATCCACTGTTTCCTGCTGAGCACTGTGTGCTTTCAAAAGGCAAAACAACTTTGAATTTAGAAATGTTGCCTGTCTCATCCTGAACTCGGGAGGTTCAGTCTCCATATCCACTTTTCACGCCACCTTGCCCCCAGTTCTTCCTTCATGCGGTACAGTTGCTCTCGTTCTGGTCTTTACCTCTTGCACCCAGTTGAATGTGTCCTTCTGTCTGTCGTTAAAATAACAACAGTCGTTTGCCCTTCTTTTTCTGTCTTGTGTGGGTTATCCTGCCTTTCTCTGTTTCTGTTCTGTAACTTCCTTTTCTTGTTATGGATGCAATATGCTGCTGTTGTCTCTCTGAGAATATTAATTATAGTATTTAAAATTTTTTTCTGCTCTCAGCGTTGGTTCTGAGTTATCTAAGTTTCTTCTTCTTGTTTCTTTGCTACGTCTGTCTCTTGTGGTGGACCTTCCCCCCTCGTGTCTGGTGATACCTGGCTGGCCTTTCATAATCTGTGGTTAGGAACCAAGAAGCTTATTGACAGCTCTGAGTGCATGGTGGGGCTTGTGCCTCGGGCAGCTCCCCTCTAAGATGATCGTTACTTGCAGGTCATTAGAACTATGGAGTATCTCTCCTCTCCTCCCTAGGAGACATACACGTGGTTGCTGGCCTCCCGGGAGCAGGGCCAGGGAATGGGCTGCATACTCTCATATGCATATTTTCACTTACTCCCTATTTTCAGCTTTCTGCTTTACTCTCACCTTCGGCTGAGGCTGGCATCCCCAAGGCTGGGATTTCTGTACAAACTAAACCTCTAGTCTCCTACTTGTACATGCTCACCTGCCTGAAGTAAGGTGGGATACAGCTGTTCCTTATACACATTTTCAACCAGCCTTCCTATTTAAAATAATTTTGGCCAGGGGCACGTGGGTGGCTTAATCAATTAAGCGTCTTCCTTCAGCTCCGGTCCTGGGATCGAGCCCTGCATCAGGCTCCTTGCTCAGTGGGAGCCCTCCGCCTGCCGTTACCCCTGCTTGTGTTCACTCTCTCTCTGTGCCAAATAAATAAGTAAAATCTTTAAAAAAAAAAATAATAATTTTGGCCAAAGATCAAGTGAGACTCCCTTCTTGCTATCCCTTGCCAATAAGTTGGTATATTTATGTATAACCAAGAATGAAAGATTCAGAATTCTGGGAAAGATGCAGTAGTCAAAAAGGGCTTTCTCTTCAAGAGAATATTAAGTAATAATTAGGGCATTTATGTTGGTTGTTCATCCCTTCGTTGTTGATTTTCTTCTTTGGCTTAAAAAAGATTAAATTATAGTATTGTCCCATAGAAATATAATGCAAGCCACATGTGTAATTTTAAGTTTTCTAATAGCCACATTTTAAAAAAGGTGAAATTCATTGTTATATTTTATTTAACCCAACATATCAAACAATAGCATTGTAACAAGTAATCAATTTAATCAATATAAAAATTATTAATGAAATAGTTTACATTCTTTTTCTCATACTAAGTCTTCGAAATCCAGACTGTTCTGTAGACTAGCCCATGTTTCCTTTCCTTGTGCAATCTGTGTACATTGTCTTTTTGGAATGAAATGGGCAAGTCTTGGGATGCCAGTCCTGGCGCCATCTTTTTCCAGATGGAGGACTGTGTTACGGTAGACAGCCAAGAGGTACCCCCCTTCCTCCCGGCCCCCACCCCCCACTGCAGCAAGCTAATGCAGAATTTTCCTCATATCTTCTCACACACCACTCCTGCTTTCTCTGGCCCCTGGTGCTCGTAGCTCCGAGCGCTCTCACAGGTTCTGAGGGAGCCACTGCCTTTGCAGCCCAGCCACCATCTGCATCACCGTTTCCATCTGTACCACTCACATGAGGGCGTCATCCGCTTTCTCATTTACCATGCTTTCCCATCTTCCAGAAGTACGTTGACATATCTCCAGTTTCTCCTCTTCTGTTCTCTGTGTTGTTGTGGGTTCATATCTTTCTATCTCTTTATAATCGTACTCGTGGTGTGTGGGAAGCTGGGGAGGTACGCATGTAGACAGTCTACTGTAGTTGCCCAGAAGTCTGTCAAATCATTACGTAGAAAAACTCCCCAGATGACCCACGCCCCAGGCTTGACGTAATGCCTGGGAGTCCCCGGACCCCCTGATCTCCACCACTCTCTTTTAACACTAATGCCGTGTCTTCTAGGTGGTGTCTTCTCAAAAGTGGTGATTTCTGTCTGTTGAAATCAGATTAAATTCAGATTTATTGATGTATAAAATATGTTCAGAGAAATACATGAATCACAAGTATGGAGCTGAGTGAAAATTCAAAGAGGCTGTGTTCAGACGATGGCCCAGACGGAGAACTAGAACTTTACCAGCACTCTAGAGGTCCCCTACGGCTCCTTTCCTGTCACCAGCCTCCACCCACCCCCATCCCCACCTGCTCCTCCCCAGGATTAACCTCTGTTCTGACTGCTGGCTTCATAGATTCATTTTACCCATTTTTTAAACTTTATGTGAATCAGCCCTGTGTTTGTTACGGGTTTCAGCTCACATTTTGCATGCAGTAGCATTTCCCCTTTGTTCCCCTTTTGTTTCTATCCACGTCCTTCCCATCCCAAAGAAAGTTAGTGTGGCTGTTGTTCTTTCCCTCCCAAGATATATAACACCTGCCGTCGAATGACTAGCCTGTTTCTTTCCTCCCATTTCACTGTGTGTGAGGCGGATACCATGAAAGAGTATCTAGACCAACACTCGGGGCTCCGGATTCTGCCTTGCTTAAACAGAAAATCGGCATGAAACGCCCCAGACCCTCCAAAATACACATCTAGACTTTGCTCTTGAGCTCCACGCTCAGCTCCTGTGTGTTCCCAAATTCTTGGTGGCGAGGAGGGGCAGGACACGTGGCCCTTTGCACAGAGGTGGAAGGCGGCACATCCCCCGCTGACCCTGGTGGCAGCGGACAGGACATGCTTGACGCCCCGAGGAGAGCGGCAGGGATGGCAGTGGCTGACGGCGTCTTCCCTGCCCCTTACAGAGCTTTACCTTTGGAGTGCCAGATGCTTCTCTTCTCAGCGACCTTTGAGGAGTCTGTGTGGCAGTTTGCAGAGCGAATCATTCCAGACCCTAATGTTATCAAGTTACGAAAGGAGGAGCTGACCCTGAACAACATCCGACAGTATTACGTGCTGTGTGAGAGTAGGAAAGACAAGTACCAAGCCCTGTGCAACATCTATGGCGGCATCACCATCGGGCAGGCCATCATCTTCTGCCAGGTAACCATGTCCCGGTCTGTCTGCGCCATGCCCGGCCTTACCTGCAGAGAGTCCGACAATGGAGGGGACAGTGATGCCAATAAGGGCCAGGCGCCCCCTTCAGCACTTTGGGTACAGGAGGCTATTTAATCTTCAGAACAAGTTGGGACAGAAATGAATCTGTATGGAAAGAGTAAGTGACGGAGTAAGACTTCAAGATGATGTTAAAAAAAGGACATCCTTATTTTAGAAGGATGGCTTCTGACGTTTCTCCATATAGGTTGATGTTTATTGTGGGGTTTTTATAGTTCCCCTCCATCAGATGAAGAATATTCTTGTCTAGTTCCTAACTTACTATGAGGAAAGTAGCCACTCAGTCACTTACTATTAATATTACCCTATTTTTATTTTCGTATTTATTTTTTGCTCTCCAACATGTTTCACGTTCACGTGTTGGTTTTATTTTCTCTCTACCACGTGAACACTGTAAACTCCATGAGCGCAGGACCTCATCTGTGTTACTTACGTAGCCCCACTAGAATGGCACCCTCCTGGCACAGGGACGGCACTGAAAACCTTATCGAATAAAAGAAAGCTCACTTCTGCCACGGACTAGCCATGAAAATCTTGGGCAAGTGACTCCATGTTTTTAAGCTTTCGGTTTGGGGTTTGTTTTTTTTTTTTATTTTTTAAATGAAATCAGGTAGCTGGTTCATCAAATTGTTGTGATATCAATGACCATAATGCATATAAAGATCTGGACAAGACACCAGGCAGACAGGAAGCAGTCTTACAGTGCCTGAGGTTGTCTTCACTATGTTATCCCATTTGGGCATCATCCTACCGCGTGCGGTAAGTGAGCATTTTATCTCTCCTTCATGGCTGAGAAGGCAAAGCTCCCACAGGTTGAGAGGACGTGACCCTGAGAAGCACAGGAGGTAGCGCATTAGAAGGTTCCTCTAGGGCTTGAGGGAGAGGTAAAGCAAAACTCCTGTGCAGCCCTTTCCGTCTTCCTCACCATGCATATGTGAGCACTGCAAACACAGCCGGTCTGCTTGGACTTGGGGTGCTATGCTGGGTTTTGTGTTTTCATGTAGACTCGTCGAAATGCCAAGTGGTTGACTGTGGAGATGATGCAGGATGGCCACCAAGTGTCTTTGTTAAGTGGAGAGCTGACCGTGGATCAGCGAGCCTCCATCATTCAGAGGTTTCGGGATGGGAAAGAGAAAGTTCTTATAACAACCAATGTCTGTGCTCGAGGTGTGTGTGTGTGTGTGTGTGTGTGTAAACATTTAAAGTCAAGTTTATTGAAGTATAATTTACATATGATAAAACTCACTGATTTTAAGTTTACAGTGAGTTTTGACAAACTTACAGTCATGTGACCATCACCATACTCGAAGTACAGAACAGTCCACGCTCCCTCCAGAACTTTCTTGTGCTCCTTTGCCGACAGCCTCTTCCTTTTATCATCTGACCCCTGGAAACTACTGATCAGATTTCTGTCTCTGTATTTTTGTCTCTTCCAGATGCTGTGTAAGTTAAATCATATAGTAGTTGGCCTTTGTGTCTGACTTATTCCACTCGACATTATGCTTTTGAGTTCATCCGTCTTGTGACATATATTAGTAGTTCAGTCCTTTTCATTGCCGGGTAGTATTCCTTTGAATGGATGTACCACACAATTAGTTTGTCCATTCACCAGTTGATGGACATTTGGATTATTCACAGTTTGGGGCTATTTCGAATAAAGCTATAATAAACATTCATGTATAGGTCTTTCAGAGACATGTTCTCATTTCTCTCGGATAAATACCGAGGAGCAGGATTTCTGGGTCATATGGTAAATGGATATTTAGCTTCGTAAGAAACTGTCTTCCAAAGTGACTACCATTTTCTATTCCCACCAGCAATGTAGGAGAGTTCCAGTTGCTCTCCATCCTTGCCAGCAATTGGTATTGTCACTCTTTTTAATTTTAGCTGTTCTGGTAGATGTATGTGGCATCTCATTGTGTTTTTAACTCAGGTTCCCTAATGATGTTGATCATCTCTGAGGTGTTTTTAATTTCAAAACTATTGACTACTGAGGGGAAAAAAATCTTTGGTTTTTTTTTTAAGAGAAGGGCCTTCCTACGGCTTTCAGCCTCCCTATGCCCTTGCCTAGACCCCATACTTGAACCTTGTTTCCTAATTCATTCTTAGTTCAGCAGATAGAAATGAGGACCTGCCGTGCGTGTAGAGCTCGGCACTGTGGAAGAGTAGCCTGAAAAAGGATGAGGTCCCAGCCCCTTGGGAGCTCAGTGCCTGGGCGCTTACTATCTAGCCCAGTGATACCCAATAGAACTTTCCACATTAATGGAAATATTCTACTCTGTGCTGTTCAGTTGGTAGCCACTGGCCATATATGGCTGCTGGGTACTTGAAACATGGCTAGTGTGACTGAGGAAATGAATTTTTAATTCGGATTAAAGTTAGATGGCCATATTGGATGGCGTGACGCTGGACCTAGGAGGAAAGAGAGCACCAAGGGCTCCAAAGAGGACAAGGCTTGCGACCCAGACAGCTTCCTAGTGCCGGGGGCCGGAGGTACTGGGGGGTCACAGAAGTCTTCCTAGGGAACATCAGATGTGAAAGGCTTTGAAGGAAGGGTAGGGAATCCAGTTTGGTAAGAATTGACAGTTTGCTTGGGAAATGGCAAGACCGTGTGACTGCAGCGTTGGATTTGAGTCAGGAGAGGAAGAGATGAGACTTCACATGGTGTGGAAATCTGGAACTGTTTGTTCTTCATCCTGTGCAGTTGGGGCAGTCAGGTCCTGAACACAAGTGTTCTGGACGTTGCCATGGTGACTGTGGTCGGAGAGATCAGAGGAGGAGAGAAGAGGGGGAACCCGGCTGGAAGTTGTTGTAACAGTGAGGCAGGGGATAAAAAAGACCTGGGTGGGATGATGACCAGGGCATGGAGCGGAGTGGGGTCCCCTGAAGGGTAGAGGACTCTAGACGGGGGGCCTGCTGGGGACTTAGCACGGCAGGAGGGGAGAGGAGGCTTGATCTCTGTGGGCTTGGTGAGAGCCCCTGTCCACAACACACACACAATCTCTGTACATATTTAGACTTCTGTGGAATGAGCTTCTACTGGCACTCTTAAATCTAGCATCCTAGACATACTCTGCAAGCAAACTGCCTGACCAAAGTATCCACTTCCATGATGTAAAACCAAGTTTTATTTGTAAATTGTGGCTGTTACATGAGAATTCCCTTGGCAGATGTGGTTTGCGAATAGCTATGTCCTAAGGAAACAGTTGCAGGACCCTACAGCATCTCTCCTCTTCTAGGGATCGATGTGAAGCAGGTCACAATTGTTGTGAACTTTGATCTCCCTGTAAACCAAGCTGAGGAGCCAGACTATGAGACCTACCTTCACCGCATAGGGCGGACAGGACGCTTTGGGAAAAAGGGCCTCGCTTTCAACATGATTGAAGTGGATAAGCTGCCCCTGCTTATGAAGATCCAGGATCACTTTAGTAAGTAGCACCTGTCACAGTGGGAACCGTGGACCCTGCTGATGTTGACAGTGATGGCGTGTGTCACAGACCTTATACCCAGAGGCTTAGGGTAGCTCCGGGACAGGAGCCAAGGAGTGGGGGGCTTTTAATTCACAGTGCCAGGGTCCCTACAGAGCCCCTATGGTTGATTAAATCATCCGTATATGGTAGCTAAAGAACAATGGAAGAATCCAGTGGAAGGAGTATGAGTTCAGGTTTATGTTATTGCCCATTGTGGGGCCTGGGGCAGCTTTCCACGTCCAGTAAAGCACCGTCCTAAACAAAGTAAAAAAGTCCTTTAGGATTATATTCTGTCCCCAGCTTCCTCTCTTATTTACATTTTTCCCTTCCTCTGGCCCCACCCTAACAGCTAGGATGGTCCTGAATTCTGAGATCTGCTGTCCTTCCTCCAGCCCCCCATCCAACAAGGCATGCTCCAATAACCTGCTGGGGCTCTTGGACTGGCAGCTTGCCCTCTGATGGAAACTGATGGAAAGCGCAAGAGTGACCTAAACTGCGGTGTCCACCTCTCAAATTACCCCATACCCCAAAGCCCGTGGATGTGGCTGGGGAACAGGGGAAGAGGAACACCCAGATGACCCCAAATATATCTTCACCTTTTGGGAAATTGGTACTTAACTTGGCGGGAAGCAGTGGACTCTGTCCTGAGGAAGTGCACAGAGACACGTATGCAGTCTGAAATACAATTTTGAAAAGTCTACAGACTGTAGCACGTCCATGGCCCCTTCGGGGAAGTTGATTAAGCACCCCTGTGTTAGGAGAAGCAAGGAGGGATGGGGGAAGAAAGAACATTACGATCCACTCTTGCTATGGTCAACGCCGTATGACCTAGTCTTGGGAAGTGACCTCAGTGGAGGAGCCCCCCTCCCTGTCGCCATCCTGCACCCCACCCTCCCTCATACACTCACCCCCACACACAGGCCCACTTTATTCCTCCTAGCACGAGCAGGCCCCTTCCCAGGCTCCCCTCCCTTGCACTCTGGCCTTTTTCCTGCCCAAGTATCTAGACACACATGTTCTATTGTTTGGTGCATTGGATGCTATTTTAGTCAGTATTAACTGGTTATTTTGATACCATCTCTTCCTAAACTGATCTCGAGAACGTTCCTCTCTCAAGGCTTTCCATGCAAGGGGTCACAGGAACACATATTTGCAAAGGTCTTCAGAAATTCACAGTTGAGTGGAATGAAATTCCATTTAGACCCTGGGCTCAGACTGATTCCATTCTCTCTCCTTCTAGACAGCAGTATTAAGCAACTCGACCCTGAAGACATGGATGAAATTGAAAAGATTGAATATTGAAGATAGAACTCTATTGCTTGTGAAATATCCTAGTTTATGTCAGAATGTCCCAGTGGGTTTCAAAGGTAATTTTTTTCCGTTGGGGCTTTTACAAAGTGAAACTGTTAAATATGGCAAAATAAATGTCATGGTAGCCTTAGTCTTAAGACCTGAGGTCTTTCTGAAACCAGATTGGCGTGAAGCACATGATCTTTTTGAATAAAAAAGCAAGATTATTTCTTATTCTAATCTCATTTACAGGTAAACATCTCTGTGTGGGCCCTGGGATGTTGCGGGACTTCATTTCCAGGATCTGAGCACACCGTGCCGCCTGTGAACATGTCAGGGTCCACGAGATGGCAGTAGGACCTCACTGGTTTGGGAAGGTGAGCTAGCGGGCCAGAGAAGCCCTCCAGCTCCAGGCCTCCCTCCCGGGCCTGCTCTCCCATGCAGGCGCGTGCGTGCACATACACCCCTTAGGTGGGAGTGCAGGGTGAAACCTTCAAAAAGTAAAACAAATTTGAAAGAGAACATTTTGCTTTTTTAAATGTTTCAGTTGACATACAGAATGTGAAAATATTTTGTCTGCTTGGTTTCTTAATGTCTTCAAAATAGAGCAGGTTTAATCCATCATCAGCTATCTAATAGTCTCTGAAAATGTGTCTTTGTTATAGACATTTCTTCAAAACAGGCCGGGGAGGGGAGGACCCATTCGCCTTATTAAAGAAGCCACATTTCATTCAAGGTATATCTGAGAATCCCAGACGTTTTCCTATAAGTCCCATTGAGATGCTTTTCATTTCTCACATTTGCTGCTAACAAGTGAAACAGTGGGCTTGAGGAACCCGGGGAAATTGATACTCCCGCAGAAAGCTGGAGCAGGTCTGCAGTCTGCAGCTAGAGCCCAGGCCCTGGCTCTGTCTGTCCCACTGAGCCCCACCGACAGCCACAGAGACTGCCCCCATCACCCGGGCCTGGAAAGGTGTTTCTGGCATATCTGTTTTGGTATTCCACGCACAGAGCTCTCTGCCCATGTTTTATCCCCATGAGCAGGGCTCAGAAATACATGAAAACCATCCAGCTGCCTCGCTCCCTGGCGGACGTTTATTGTGCACCCTTTACGCCAGACGCCAGCGAAAGGGAGATGAAAAAGAAGTTACGGTCGCCTCAGACTTCAGAGTAACGGCAGCCTCAGAGGAAGACAGCAGGGTAACAGACTGTGCCGAAGGAGGGAGGGGTGTGCAGGTCACTGGTGCTGCTCGGAGGAGGGGCCCCGAACACCAACGGGGCCGGCTTCCCAGAGAAGACACTGTCTTCTTTCACGAGAGGGAAATACGTATTGAATGGTGCCTCTGGTCGTGTCCTCAGGGCCGCCTTACGCTTACCTAACATGGGCCCAATGAGGCAGCCTTCCGGGTCCAGCTCTCCCGCATGTGGTCAGTCTTCCTGTCCACTCAGTACCCAGCCCCCCAGCACAGTGCCCAGCACATAACAGGTGGTCACTAAATATTTGTCGAGGAAATAATCCTTTGCCATTTCTTCATTCACTAACATTCTTCCCCGAGGTTTTCCATCCAGAGTTTTGAACTGCAGTTGTATGGCATAAGATGACTGAGTGTAGGAAGTACATCAAGACGTCCTGCTCTCTCTCTTTGAAGTCAGTGGGACCGTGCGTCATACTCAGCTCTGCACTGGGGAGTTCTAAATGAAACTTTACCATTTCCCTATCCAGTTCAGATCTCCCACAGACTCTCTACCGGTTACCCTCACAAACGTCTTCAGTGATTTCCCTTTGGCAACTGTTCCCACAGGGTCTGCAAATAGTGGGCATTCTTCAGCCTGCCCCTCAGCCCCTCTCCTCACATTCTTTTGTCTCCAGCAAAGCCGTCCTGTGTTCTGTGTGCATCACAGCTGTCTTAACACTATAGCTGTCCAGTTCGGTGAGTCAACAGTCTGGAGGCTGTTTTGCAGGGTGCAGCTCCTTGCTGGGAACTGCAAGCAATTTCACATCTCCGTGCAAGGCCTGGCCAAGGTCATCTCTCAGTTGATGCCTGCCTGAGGAAGGAGTCCATGGAGAGGCAAGGAATAACCAGATGATTTCAGTGCCTCTGTGGGCTGGGTTAATCAGCTGTGTATTACTTGGCACCAAATACTAAACCAAATCCATTAAGTTGATCTTGGCCAGCTTGATACTGTTAGCATATTGAAATTCACAATTACATAGAGCAGGGCTGTGACTCCCAGTGGGAGTTGTGAGTGAACACCTCGCCTGGGGCACAGCTCCTATGATGTTAGGTGCTGGATCTAAGGCAACTGAATAATAGGAAAGGCAAACGCGTTGGTCATCGTCTGGTAGGATGTCTGACAGCCCTTCTCAAGAGACGTTATTGCTTTTGGTCATGAGGAAGTGTTGATCCCCCTAGCAAAGCTTGGTCCCAGCGGTCTCTGCACATGTGACCAACAGTGGAACGTCTTAGAGGATCGCTGGCGGAGGGGGAGATGAGCAGTACCTTCCAGCTCTGGGGAGAGGAGCTGGTTGGGTCCAGCCTTGCTTCTGCTCTTGGTCCTCTCAAAGGCCCCGTCTCTTTCCCTTTGATTCAAGGAGGGACCGCACTGAAAAGAGGACCCGAGCAGAGACGACACAGCTGTTGGAGTGGAAAGTGAAATGGGAGTTCAGAGCAAGGACCTCTCTGTGGGCCTGCACTTCTCTGCCCTCTGAGCTTGAGGGCCTTCCTCTGATCTTTCCTGCTGTTGTACGGAGAGCCCATGCTTGCTGATCCCGCGGGCACATGGGGCCCAGCAAGTGGGCCTATGTTAGTTTTACCACAGGACTAACAGAGTTGGGTCCTCTTAAATCCTACCTCCCTTACTCCAACCCTCCCTCCATGATGGCAGGGAACCATGTGTATTAAAGACACTCATAGCATTGTAACCCATGGACTATGAAATATCTTGGTCTTGCTTGAAATATCTCAGACTATGCTTCAAGGAATACCAACTTTATATTCTTGGAAGAATCCCAAAACAACTCGCCCCAGAATTTTGTATACTTTTTTTTTAACCCATGGCTGAGAGGAGAGTTAGACCTTGCCCTTCTTACTTTTCTGTCTGCTGACCCCCTGGCCCCGCTAATGTTTTCGGTTCTAGGTTCTGCATTCTCCCGGGTTCTTGGCTCTTCCGTGCTCTCTGCTGTCGAAGGAAGGATGGGTCAGCCAGGCTCTAGCCTTCCCACACCCCTCCCTCCTACCCCAGCTGGACTGCCTGGTGCCCCTCAGAGGCAGGCTGTCAGGGCCATGGTCTTGAGACACTGCCCTCTCCCCCTAGTATTCCTTATTGCTTTGTGTCTCAGTCAGCTCGGGCACCAGAACAAAACACCACAGACTGGGTGGCTTAACAGAAATTTCTTTTCTCACAATTCTGGAGGCTGGAAAGTCCAAGATCAAGGTCCAGCAGCGTTCAGTTTCCGGCAAGGACTCTCTCCTCCCTTTGCACTATGTCCTCACGTGGCAGAGAAAGAGAGCGCTAGCTCAGTGCCCTCTCTGGTGTCTGTAATCCCATAATCCCACCATCAGGGCCCCTCCATCACGACCTAATCACCTCCCCCAAGCCTCACTTCCAGATGTGGTCACATTGGGACTAGGGCTTCAACATAAGAATTTGAGGTGGGGGTGGAGAACAAACATTGTGTCCCACCTGCCAAATAACACTTAGCAATCTCCCATTTTAAAACTATCCATATCCATAACACTCCATTCATTGTCATTTAAAACTTGGGGTGAGGTTGAAGCACCATTATCCTCTTATAATGTGGTTTTCCACCCCACCATTAAACAGGCAACTCTTAGACCCTTCTAATGTAATACAGGGAACACACCAGAGATGGGATGATTCTTGGTGAAGAGAAGGAACAGTATGTCCTGAAAATCGACAGAGAGTCCCACTGCCCCTGTAGAGCTGTCAGCCCTCCTCCCCCAGTTAACTTCAACTTCTGCTTGGGTTAGAGACAACCAGAAGCTCTAATATATTAAGAAAGACGAGCACTGAAAAGTTGACCCCCCCCACTCTTGTATTCCAGAAGAAATGAAAGAATTTTTTTAAGAGATTTTATTTATTTATTTATTTATTTGAAGGAGAGAGACACGG